GCAGCAGTCTGGCCCTCTCCGTTGCCCTGCCTGGCTCTATTGCTAACCCTGTCCCAGCAGCTCCTGCTTTCCCATCACCACGTCCCAGCTGCTGCTTTGGGATGGGCTCAGCAAGGAATTTTCCTCCTTGTTTTCACAGCACAGAAACTGCTTTGCCTTTGCTTTTCCATTAAGCCTGGCTCTAGCAATAGAGCAGAGATGTCCAGAGATAACATCACATCCCCTGTGCACCGGCTGCTCCCGCAGACCCTCCCAGCTGCACACTATAAATCCCATCTCTAGAGATATTTGAATATATTCAAAGCAAGAGGAGCTGCTTGAAAGTCACTCTGATATGACTCTCAACTCTTTGTGAAGAGCAACAGATGATCACGCTGGGGTTTAAAGCAAACCCCAAGGAGGGGAACACGGCTAGTATTTCACCTCCTCCCAAGTGGATCAATCTCACCACAGTTGGCTCTCTGGGAGCATCTGAAGGGAAAAGCAAGGACCTGGATGCACTCCCCCAGACTGCGACTGGGGACAGAGGTCCTCCTGCTGAGCCAGGGTGGGGGGAAAAGTGGTTTCTCCATTCAAGCGCAGCTGAGCAGAGAGCAGCTGCTGCCATGTGCCTTGCAGAGGCTCACACGGCTCGGCCCAGCAGGAGCGCTGAGCCTTTTCCCTGTGCCCCGTGCAGCTAACGAGCACAGCTTGGCTGTCAGATGTTTGCAGTAATGGAAACAAGCAAACAAACCCATTCACGGAACGAATGAGAATTACAGCTAAATCGGAGGCAGTCGCTATCTGGTCACAAACAGCTGAGGAGGTGAAATCTAAACCGCTGGAGAAGCTGTTATTCTCACAGCATCCCGCAGACCAGCCAGGCACCTGAGATGTGGAGAGGGGTGGCAAGAGCACGCACGCTGCTGGAGGGCAGCAGAGGGTGTTTCAGGAGGAGTCAGTCAGCAGGGTGGAGGGCAGGAGAGCCGGGCTCCATCTGGGCAGGGAGATGCACATGGTCCCCCTCGCTTGAAAAACCAGATGGGAAACTGCATCCCCAACTCCACCAGAGTCAGTGGAAGAACATTCCGGTCTCCGGCCCCGCATGTCTCCCTGCTTCCCAAGCTGGGACTCCTAACTGCAGCAGACTGTCTTATAGCTAGAGCTTGACCTTTCCAGCACCAATTAGCTGGGAGAGGAGCCATGCGGCTAATGAGCACATGAAGGGGTTTATCTCACCCAGCAGGCATGGACACTGCCTATAAAATTCTTGGCAAAGACAGCAGCTCGGTATTGATCTCAGGAAGGCCAAGTGCTCCATCGCATAAAAATCACATAGAGAAATGTTTGTTGCTCCCATCTGACTCCTGCTGCTGCTTAGGGCCCGGTGTCCGTGAGACCGACACTTCTCTGTGCCCAGCGTGGCAAAGGGCCCTCGTCATGCAATAGGTGACATTTGTTGCACCCGAGGTTGTCGACAGCGAGAGATTGGCATCCCCTTGGGGGGTCTCTGCTCTGCCCCGGCAGAGCCTAACGGGAGGGCGCCAGGCTGCAGTGCCGATGCGACCGGCAATCGTAGCAGCCTGGCCAGGGGAAGATGGGCTTGTTTGAAAAGAAAAGGGATATATCCTGATTTCCGTAGGTTGCAGTGGAAATGCTGGAGAACAGGGGAGATGATAAAGCTATCAGAGAGACCTTGACAGATATACTAGATGCACTGAGATCAAAGGGAAGGTCTGTTTATTTTTCTTGATACAGAGTTTGCAGGAATGAGGCATTGTGAAATGCCCGGTATCTGCCTGGTTTGGCTGGTTTTCTTTCAAATAAACTGGCCTCTGCAGCATCTGGAGCATCTGACCTTTCAGAAGGGTCAGCGTGGAGGTAAAAATGGATCTCAGCATCACAGGAGAGAGTCCCAGCTGGGGACGGAGCTGGGGGAGGCCAAGGCATGGTGGGACAGCAGCCCCTGGCTCTCCGGCTGCGGCAGTGGAGACCTGCGGGAGGGTCCCGGGGAAGCTGCCAGCTGCAGAGGATTTAGAGAACTGTCCCTGATCCGGCCCCTCGTGCTCAGGAGATTTGAACTGGTTACTTTTCTGATTCCACCCACTTACAGCCAAGCACGGTTATTGCTGCTAAAACCGCTGTACGTGGGATTAAGAGTGGATAATTAGCCCCGAGCTTTTCTGCTGTCTGTACCTGCAGGAGGCTGGAATGAAATTCTGAGTCAGACAAAAGCAGCATTTAGAAAATGTACCAGGCACGGGCAGAATAATCAGTTGCTGCTAATGACTGATTTATCTTGCCACATCAGGGATGTCGCCCATTGTAACGTCCTCACTGCCTGGCGCGGGGTTTGCAGGGAAAGGGCATCCTGTAAATCTCAGAGGCACGTTGCTCCAGTGGGAGATATTGTTCTTCTCACTTCACAGGCTGGAGAGATGCCTTGAGCTGTAACCTGGCAGCCAGCAGAAATATGGCAGAGAGGCACAGTTTCACCGCAGAACACCTTTGCTGTGTTGCAGGGAATTGATGTTTCCTTCCTAGTTTAGCCCCAGCTCCGCGCCTGCCGGGTAGCAATCCCCACCGCAACCACGTAAAACAAACTTTAATCGTGATTCTGTCCAGGCTGATAATCCCCACGCTGGCACATCCAGAGGAAATGAGTCTTGAACCATGGCAGGCTGTAATAACATATCATAATATTTCTTCCCTTGGGAAATCCTGCCAAGGGCACCAGAGGCATCTTGTGAACAAGGATGAAGGAAGCCCTGCAATCCACCTGTGAAGCAGAGCAGATTTCTTCCTGTTTTGTAGACAAGGTAAGGGGCACAAAAAGGTTCCCAGGAGCTCAGGAAGGTCACCGAGCAGGGAATAAAACCCAGGAGTCCTAGCTCCCAATCTCCAGGGTTAGTTGCTAAATACAGCAGGCTCATAATTTCAGTGAGCTGCCATTGAGGATTTGTCCCCGTGCTTTCGATGGAAGCTGATGAGGCAGTTAGACAGAGCCACTACAATGTAGTAGCTTAAGCATCAAAAGGAGAGAGGTTTGCAGGAGCATGCACATTTGCCTGTCAGCTTGGAGCATGCACATGTTCAGATATCACAACTCAAGCAACTGATAACCACTCATTTATTAATCTCTGGTAACTCAATCTGCCCTCTCAGCCCTAAGTGCTGAACAGAGACGATGCCCTCAGGAGCTGGAGATCAATTTAAATTTTCAGAAGCCTTAGTCCCTGGCTCGCTCCATAGTGCCAGCGCTCCTTATAATAACTGTTGAGTGGATTTTCTGTCACATAACTGATCCCGGCTCCCTTTCTAGCAGCCCTGGCTGCCACATTCTCCTGTGCTGGAGAAAAAGTCTTTAATATCCATGCCATGAGCCATGCAGGAGGGCACGTATATGCCCGGAGAAGTCTGGGATATGTGCTATGAAAAGCTCCCACCCCCCTTTCACGCCAACGCTGAAGTCCTCTGGGTACTGATGCTTTCACGCAGCATCATCTGGAGGAGAGCAGGGACTCTGGGGCCCCGCATCTTGCTGCTTGCTCATCCTTGTTGCTGGGTGGTGCTCAGACACACTGGGCAAAGCTCCCGTGTAAGCGGCAGTTCCAGCAAAGGGCTTATCTTTGAACTAGACTGAAGAGGTGAGGGAAACCAAGCCACCAAGTTAGAGCAGGACCTAGCCCAGGTCACAGAGCCAGCCCAGGAGGGATGGGATTCAAACTGAGTTTATTAACTCCTTGTTTAATGGCCCTGATGCGAAACCTGATTGCTGCCTGCTCCGTATGGTCTCATCGCAGGGACCTCAGCTGACTCCCAGTACCCCCCAGCTGGCTGCACTCCAGCTGCCCGCCTGGACTGGGACCAGCCCTCCCAGTTCCACCTCTCAGGGATCCTCACTGAGAATTAAGAGCCCTGAAGTGAATGTGGCAGCAGCCCAGCACTGCTGACCCAGGAGGCTCTGCTCCATTAGCCCCAAAACATTGCTGACCATAAACACTTTAATTCTGGCATTGCAGGTTCTGCTTCTCAATAAAAGCAAAAAGCAATTTATGAGAGCATGGCCAATAATGTGAAACTCACTTTATCGAAAAAAAAGCAACTATACCCTGTGGACTGGTGTGGGGTTAACTACTTCGGGAAAGCAGAGGTCCTGGCTGGGAGAGGGACCTCGACACGTGCAAACGTCCCACCCTACAGCCACAAAGTTGGAAACAGGCTGTAAAGTGGATGTGATCATCACTCCTCTCCTAGCCTGCTGCTCATGTCTTGGGACGCTTGGACAGTCTCCTGCTCTGTATTTCAGCAGTTTCAGCCCATTGAGAACCTGGAGATAAACAGCAGGAGCTGCTGAGACTGGGGGTACAATGGGAGGGAGTGCTGGGGTGCGCCAAAATATCCGATTGATGCCTAACTGCTGGGACAGGCAAGAAAAAAAGGAGAGGTGCACTGGTCAGTTGAAATGTTTTCACTTTTATTCAGACACCGCACGGTTACAAACCTGCAGCCCCCTCTGCTCCCCAGCCGGCCCCGCGCAGCTTCACCGCTGCTGCTGCCCCTCCTGCCTCGCGGGTGTCCTGTCCCGGCCGGCAAAGCCCCTGGCCCTGCGGGGTCTCCTGCTGCAGAGCACCTCTGATGCCCCAGCCAAGGGCAATGCCATTTCAACGCTTTTCCTCCAGGTACAGTGACATATCTGACGCCCTCGTGTTTGAGCCTGGCTGGGTGGAAGTCTGAGGCATTTCTGAGCCTGAGTCCCTCTTCCGCAAGTCTTTAGGGAACCTCTGTTTCTCAGAGCTGCTTTGCAGGATCAATGGAGAGTGAAATTCATAGGCTTGAGCTGCTGAGGGTGGGCAAGGTGTCTCCTGAGGATCCTCTGGAGCAAATTCTTCCTGGGCGTCCCAACAGGGAGCTCCAGGCTGGAGCTGCTCCTCTGATAGCCCACGCTCCTCTGATAGCCCACCTCCAGGGAGCCTCCTCTCTCTCTTCTCTGCCTCTTTGCTTTCCAGCACATCCATTACCTGGATGTCTCTGAGCAGGCTGGCACATCTCCTAGGCAGGGGAAGCCCTGCTGGAGTCCGGTAGGCCTGGCTGCCTCCACTGTCCTTGTGACCGGTGGCATCGGGACTCGGCTGCTTGCAGTCCCTCAGGCCTCCACCCATCCGGGAGCAGACGCCTCCCCCAGCAACAGGCATCCCCGGGCGTCTGCAGCATCCCAGCTCCTCCTGGGAACTGGGACATATCTCAGCAGCAGGACCTCGAGGGTAACCTGAGCCTGAGTGAAAAAACAACGCCTCTTCACTGGTGACCTGTGGGCTTTGCCCCAGGGTGACAAAGCCATACAGGGTGGTGACCTTGGAGAGATGAGGCAGGGACAGAGCTGCCCAAGCAGTGGGGTCTGGGATAGCCTGCGCAGTGGCAGCGAGCCAGGTGTTAGAGCAGGACAAGCTAGAGCGGGGCGCATCGTGCTCATCCTCCACCTCTGGGTCCCAGCTGCTCCTCCAAGCTGCTGTCCCTGCCGGCTGCCCCTTCCCCTTGCCTGAGTGCCTGTGCTTCTTGTGAATGTCCAGAGAGGGGATAGTAAACTGCGGGATGTGGTCGGGGATCACCATGTGGAGGAAGATGTCCCTGGAGCTTTTGCCCTGGAGCACACAGGGACAGAGCATCCCCTCCCAGAGCGACATGGTGGGACAGACGGGGCTCCCTGGAGCAGCGGTGTGTGTTTATGCTCTGCAGCCAGCCCTGATTGCTCTCTGCGCAGTGACACGCTGTGACGACGGCTGCCAGGTCCCTGCACTGGCTCCCTCCGGACCAGCAGAAATTCGTCACCCACCCGGGCACAGGGGAGAGAGATGGAGGGGGGACAGGCGAGGAGGCACTTGTCCCCAACCTCTGCTCCTGCCCTCCTGCTCATGTGCAGGGACATCTGCGCCAGCCAGCTCCCATCACCCATGAGATGGGAGTCGGGGGTCCCCGAGGAGAAGAAGGATGAGCGGCATGAGCCAGGGCTGCGGCGCCTGGGGTGGGAGGGAGACGCGCGCCGGGAGCAACAGTGAGTGCAGCGAGTGGTGGCCTGTGCAGGATGATGAGTCACTGTCCGTGGGCATCAGGTGGAGCTGAGCGGAAGGGGCAGCCGGAGCTGAGAGTGGGAGACAAACACTTCAGTTCTGTCTAGCAAAACTCTTGTCAGGAAAATCTCCGCCTCGGCCCATGCAATTACCCAGAGAAATCAGTAATTTCAACCATTGAGGCCCCCAACTCCCTCCTCTCACCTCTGCTGTCGCTAGGGCTGCGTGCTGGCTTGTTTCTCGCAGCATCCCTGTGCTCCGGTCCCTGCTGGGGGTGGGACTGCGGGTGGGAACGGTTCCGGGCAGCCCCTGGGCATGAGGCCACGGCGAGGCAAGGCAACCCACGAATTTTCTCACTTTTACCCTTCCGATTCTCTCCCCCATCCCACCGGGGGGCAGTGAGCGAGCGGCTGGGTGGTGCTTAGTTGCCGGCTGGGGTTTAACCACGACAGTGCCCAGAGCAGGGGCTGAGAGGATCTGCTGTGAAGCAGCTTCTGGAAGGTGCTTCTGGGGACTCAGCTAAGCCCATTTTATGACGGGGAGTGTGCGTGCATCTGTGTTCATGCGTGTACAGAACTGCTGGCTAATTGAATCAGGCTGTGGTTTCAAAGAACCAGACTTACTCCCTTCCTTTCATCTTTATTGACTAAAACAAATCCCAGCCCCAGCTTCCCCCCAGTGTAGGAGCAAGGGGAGAGCATGGACCAAGGGGGATGCTGAGGGGGCCTCCCCTCCCCTGGGGTCCAGCTTCTTGCATGGGTCCCACTGGGGGGCTCGGTGGGGCAAGTTTTCTGGCGTTTCATCACCCTCTGCCTTCAGCTATTTGCACCAACACAGAATCAGGGCACATATCCCAAATCAGAGTCTTGGCTTGGCAAGATGCAACCCCCAGGAGGGGACAGGCATCCCAAATAGAGAGAAAATAACCCCCTAATTGAGAGCCATTGGCCCTTGAGGAAGGCACCAGGACCAGTGCTCCTACCAGGGGAATGCCCCTGGGAGGGCATTGAGCTGCCCCACTGATTAGTGAGGCCGGCAGCTTGTCAATGCAACGAGGAGCAGCTGGGCCGGCAGCTACAAGTAGCTTGAGGGCTGCAGGCTGGGCTAAGCCAGGTGTCTGTCCAGCCCGGGCTCTTGGGTTTCATGGAGCAGCAACTAAGGCTACGCACCAGCCCAGAGCAGGCAGAGATCCTCCAGGTGCTAAAGGGGTTGGTTTTGCTGGGGGTGCTGTCGGAGCTGGCATGGAGGATGTCTGACCTTTCTCTCTCTGTCTAGGGGAGGCTGGTTAGCTGTGAGGAGCCCTACTCCTTCTCTAGCAGGTTGCTGTGCCAGATCCTTCAGCTGAGTTTTGTCAAGTACCTGGTAGGTGATGTTTCTGCTGTTGGAGGAGTTTGAGTCCAAGGGGATGGGGTGATTAAAACCTTGAGACTGGCAGTTCCTTTGGTTTCTCTGCTGGATCATCCTCTCTGTCTCTTCCTTCTGCCCTGCACTCAGTGTGCGCTTGTGCCCTTTTTTCTCCCCATCCCAGCTTTTGCCCTCTGCCTGGTTTGGTCTTGCCTTGCTCCCCTTCTGCTAATAGTTGTTGCAGCATTCATGTTTCTCTCCTTATCTGGGCCAGGAGAGATGGGAGGCCTTTGGGGACAAGGTATAATCTAACTGGTCCTGTTTTACCTGGCTGAAGTTGGTCCCAATCTCAGCACCACACCAGGACAGAACAGGGTTTAAGGGTTTCACTGGGGACTTTAAATAGCTGTAAGTTCTCATGTGACCTAATGTAGCTCTCTCTTGTTTGCAGCTGAAGATCCTTCAGAAAGCATCAGTCTGGATTGGATTCTTGGTCCCTGTGGAGACCATTATCAGCAAAGTCTACCTCACCCAGTCTCCCACCAGGCCTAGACGACTTGCCAAGAAGCGCCGGGGGAGACTAATGAGCCTCCTCCTCTCCATCGTCCCCACCAGGATCCAGAGCATCTTAGGCTACCTGCCAGCAGACTGGGGCCAGAGCAACATGCCCAAGGGTAAGAGCTGTGGCTTCTTGGAACACCTGAAGGCTTTGCAGCTAAGAAGCACGCAGCATGACATCAAAACACACTAGGTCTGGAGCTCCTGCACTGGGTAGGAAGCTGGGAAGCACACAGATGTATGTGTTCATCCTGTATGGGTTGTGATTGTGCCTCCTATGAATCCCTGCAGAGATCCGAGAAGCTCTGATCAACCCATCTAGCAAAGCAAACAAGAGGAAGCGGGATGATGTAGCTCTGGAGGAACAGGAGTCCTGGTTGGTGGTACTGGAGAGGGACCTGCCAGAGGATGACTCTGAAGACATTACATATCAGGTACGATGTTCTGGCTGCTGTGCAGATTTGTTCTTGGGGGCTGAGCAATTTGGAGATGATTGTGTTCAGCCTCTGTGTTACTGGTAGACAGGGAGTGTCACTGCACAGGTCTGCAGAGGAGCCTGTGCAGGGAGCTGTAAAGATATTTTCTTTATTGTACACCCTTTGCGGGCTTCAGGCTGTCCAAAGAGCACTTGAACATCATGTCAACTGTGTCCAAAAGGTGTGGGTGCTCCGCTTGTCCCATCACACTGAAGTTTCCCTTTGGTTGACGTCCCTGCAAAGCAGCATCTCTGTCACCCTTGGCTGTTTGGCTGTGGTTCCCGGTGCTGTCAGGAATGGGACAGGTGTGCCCTTCCTCACACTGCCTCTTTCCTCCCCAGCCTTCAGATGTGGAAACAGATAGCGAGGAGTACAAGTCCCAAAATGACACTGAGGCAGACCTGGAGCTTGAAGAGCAGGATGGGACCATTATACTGAAGGAGTCACCAGATGCCCAGGTGAGTGGGCCTGCCCCATGGTGGCTGCAGACTCGGTCCTGGGTACACTTGCAAATACTGGGCTGGAAGGATGTACTTCAGCCCTTCTTCCCTTGGCTACAGAAGGAGAGGTGTCTGGGGTTACTCAGACTACTCTGAATTTCATGACATCACCCATGGGTCTTTTGCTGCCCTTCCATGGAGCTGCAGTCTGACCATGCCCCTGTCTCTGCAGGTGGAGGACATACAACCCGCTGGGGTTAGCGATACCCCCGAGCTGCTGGCTGCAAGCACGGAGCTGGGACCAGAGGATCCAGCTGGGTCCAGCAGTGGGGAAGATGCCTCAGATGTTGCTAGTGGTGATGGACAGAAGCCAGAAGCTGATGTGAGCAGTGGGGATGGCAGCGAGCAGGAGGCTGATGCAGACTGTGATGACAGCAGCAGTTTGTCACAGTATGGGGTAAGGACTCCTTTGTGCTGGGCCATAATCCCACCCATCCTCCTTTAGTGTGGAGCAGGGGAGGTGTCACAAGCTCAGAGGTATTTCAGCCTGGGAGGGATGTCCCCAGGCTCTGAGCCTTTGACATAGGTATCCATTCCCTTTGCTGCCAAGTGAAGCCCCTACAACCCTTTCCTAGCTCTAGTTCTTCTCCCTGTGCAAAGAGACAACCTCAGTCTGCATATGTCATTGAGATGATGCTGGGTGTGCACGGTGCCGTGGGCATCTTCACCCCTGAGTGACAGGACTACCTGTCACTGCCAGGTAGTCAACGCCAGTTAAGCACCTTGTGCTGGCACCCAGAGCAGCCACCTCTAAGCCAGAGCCACTACCAGCAGGTCACCGTGAGCCCTTCATGACTCACTGGCCCAGATATCTTGTGCTTGAAAATAGGGAGGACTTGTGGGAGAACCTTCATCGCTAGCAGCTTCGCATGGGGTCCTTCACTGCTCTAGACCCATCTGTTGCCAAAGCAGTGGTGGACACCCTCCCAATTCCCTTGAAGCTGGTGCAGAGCTGCCTGGCTTGCAGGGAAATGGAGGGTGAGGAGAGGTGCAGGGTGGGTTGGCTTGTACTCAGCAGCTCATCCCGTCCCCGGTGTCAATGCTGTCTGGCCAGCGTTATGGGTAAAACCTCTTGTGTTTTCTAGGATAAGCAGGAACCCTGACCCATGGACCTGGACTTTTGCTGTGGCTGCAAAGCGCCTGGTTCTCTGGGGCGGCTGTGTCCTTGAGTAAGCTGTCCAGTTAAATGCTATGTTGATATTTTGTTGAACTTTATAATAAAATTACCCTATTTTTTCATGTGAATTGGGATGCAATTGGCTTTCAGTACCTGGAGCTGGCAGGTTCTACCTGTGCACCAGATGGCATGGACATACTGCTGCTGGGAGTCCAGGGTATGGGGCTGCCAGCGAGACCTTCCCCTCTGATCCCTCCTGTGGAGAGGCTCTTCGTGGCTCCTGGGAGGGTGATGACTTTGGGAATGCTGAAATGTGTGATGGGAAGGAGCGGGGTGCAGGGAGTGGCGCTGCAGGCTCAGGCTGAGCGGAGCAGGGTTTCCGTGTGGCAGCACCTGAGCATGGCCACACTGACTGGTCCCCAGATGTCGCTGGGCTGGCTGGCTGCAGAGGTGCAGGATGGGTCCCTCAGCAGAATCTCTCTCCACATGTACAACATCTCCAGAAATACAGGATGTAGCAAGTATCTGCCCTTGGGATTAAAAAAAAACAAATTCACATGGAGCCCATGTTGCTCAGTGAGCACTTATCGGTCTCCAGTCTGCCTTCTGGCTTCTTTATACCTGGGTGTTTCTGCATAGAGCGTTCTCCCTCCACACAGATCCTACAGAGGACCTTGGTTCAGTACAAGAGCTGAGCAAAGGGTGATTCAGGGTCTGGAAAGGCAGGTTGGGATCAGAAAGTGCCTGAATGCAACACAGAGGTCTAGAGTGACTTAAAATTGGCCAACACTTGACCTGTTTGGAATAAGTTTCAGTATCTGAAGCTGCAAAGAGCAGTAAATCCTCCAAATGTGAGTCTAAAAATAAGAACAACTCAGGGTGTTTGGCGTTCTTGCTTGGGGCCTGCCTGGAGGCTGTGTCTGATGGCATGACTACCTTGAGCTCTATTTGTGTGTGTATCAACTCGGACTAACAATGCTTCAACTGTTAAAAATAACTGTGGCATCCTGTAGCAGGGATGCTCTGCTGAACAAGCTGAACTCTCAGGTAGGTCTAACCTGGATGGGCCAGGCAGCGTGGCAGTTGACAGCCGCTTCTGCCTATCAGCTTTGTAATGTCTGGGCTTGACCCCTGCCACGGGCAAAGCCTCTAAAGAAGTAGAAATCCTTCCCAGCTCTGAAGGGAGGGAGGTGTTGATGCCCTGAGGTTTTGTTCTCTTGTCTCCCATTTCATATGGGCTGCAAGAAAGAGTGGGACTTAAATCCCAGGGAGTTCAAAAGCAGGGTGGTAATGAGGATGGAGGTGTCCTTGCTCTCAGACCCTGCTGGGATCAGGGATGCTAATGTCTTTCTAATTAAAGATGGCTTCTTCTGTCAAAAGCAGCTCTGGGCCACGTTGTGCTCTGTGCAGCTTTTCCTGCTGGGCTACAGTGATTGTGCAAAGGCCTGCTCTGGCCAGCAGTGAACCATTTAAAGGAAGAAATGTTTGCACTTTAAACGAGTAGCTGGGTCAGGGCACCTCTCCTCAAGCTGCAGCCCTTAAACCCCTCCCTGGCACTCTAAAGCTGGCCTTCCCTGCACAGATCTGGCCAGAGACCTGGCACTGGCTGCTCATACCTCTGCTTCAGTGGGGCATGTCTTGGACTGGGCAGAGACATTTTTCTCCCAGGTTAGACCAGTTATTTGTGCACCTTCAATGTGCAGAACAGTCCTGAGTCATGAAGCTCAAGTAGTTCTATGTGCTTTACCCATCCTTCCCCATGGCAGTGTCTCTTTAAATGCATGTATGCCTCTTACCTGGCATTATCTGCAGCTGCAATAGCACTGGTTTCATTACTGCTGAATAATAGCAAGATTGTTCTTAAGATTGATAAAGGAGCTGATACTGCAACTCCTGGATATTATATTGGGCTCCGCATTAATTCAGTTGCTCCTCATTTGTGTTTGATAGCTCTCCCATTCTCTGCAGCCGGAGTTTTCAAAGCAAAGATTAATAAAACACCATTTAGTGGCATGTAGCTAGGTAAGGGCTTTTTCTGAAATCTGTGCAGGCTTTTCCTGCTTGCTCCTGAGCTTTAGTAGCACTGGATGTGGAGATAAAGAGGAGGCTTTGTTCATTGTCTGGGTGCCAGGCTGCAGAGTGATTATGCCTTAAAATGTAGTGAGAAAGCAACTAGCACTAAATCTGACTCTTTGAGCTCACCTGCAGATTAATTCTGTGCAAACCTGTCTGCAAGGAGGGGCATGCCCAAAGCTTCCCAGAGTCTTAAGCCCTGATTTAGGAAGAGGAGATCTCCTCAGACAAGCATGGAAGAAGCAAATGGCTTGGTGGACTGAGAACTAGCTGTGGATGTGCTTTACCCCAAGGTCATCACCTTGAATCCAGCCCAAGTAGGTAGGTGGTGCATGTTTGTATTGTCAGGGAGGCAGGGTGAAAAGGGGGGAGCCGACGGTCACGCTGCTGCTAGTGTGCGAAGGCTCAGCCCAGAGAGAGGTGGCCGATCGCTTGGGAGGTGCCTGAACGCAGCAGTGGCTGCTGGTGGCCTGACGGGTGTCACCGCTGCTGGGGGGTAACGGGTTCTGCAGGGATGTGAATGAGCTGCCCTAAATACCTGCTTGCGCGTGGGCTTCATCTAGTTGCGGAAGGATGAGGCTTGTACAGAAGAAATACACGTTGTACCAGACATACACGTTGGTGGCTAGAAGGCTGTCTGGGGAGGATCGGTGGTGCTGCAGCCAGCCTGTTCACCGGGGTGCGATGTTACAGAATCTGATGCTTTTTGAGGACTTGGGCCCTCTTTACAGCTGGGTGGAGTGGGGGGATTGAGAGCAGGGTATGGGAGGGATGGGAGAGTCTAGCCTTCTGCCAAAAGGCAAGAGTCTGCTAAGCACCTTTGAGCATCTCTTCCCTTCCTCTCCATTGTCTCCATTCTTCCCTGTGGCGCTTTTGCCCCTGGTGTGGGGCGGTGAAGCACAGGGACATGCCCCAGGCCATGCAGGGCAGCTGCAGCCCAGCTGGGTTTGGGGCTGGGCGAGGTGAGGAGCAGCCTGATGGAGCAGGTTATTCAACTCCGGTCGGATGGAGATGCTCTGAGTCCTTCTTGGCATCCTCTGTTCTGGGAAAAGGCCCAAGAGGGGATGTGGGATGTGCCCAGCTGAGTCTCTGCTGTGCTTGGGCACGGTGCTGTGCGTCATCCAAGCCCAGCTTTTGTGTGGTCCCTCCTCACCCTTGCCCTGGGTGCCAGGAGCTGGGCGGAGGGGGTGGCCATGGTGAGAAGCAGGGTGCTGAGGCTGTAGTGGAGGGCTGCGTTGAAGAGCAGGTTCCCTCCCTACACCCCTGCACAACCTGGAAACTTCCAGTCGCTGCTTTTTTCAGGCCATGTTTCCCTCCCTTCTCCTGCAGACCAGAGGAGTTGCGATGGTGGGAACCGCACAGGCTGCGGGCACTGGAGCTGAGGTCTGTACCTTCCCCAGTCCTGGGGTCCATTTAGTCTTGGTGGCTTTGTGGGTAACACCAGGGCCAGTCCCACTTCCTTGGCAAGGGCCACTGAAGAGCAAGCCAGGTGCTGTGAGAGAGAGGATGGGAAGGAGGGGGAATGGAGAGAGGGAGAGCAATTGAGGGGTTAATGCAGTGGTAGGGGGATGAAGAGACAAGCATGGCCCTTGAGGGAGCCTGAAGACGTAAGCGAAGGTGACCCTGATGGTCGGGGTCCCCAAAGGACACGTGGACCAAGCAGCCTGCAAAGGGCTCCGTTCTAGACCTATGATGAGGGAGTTGCGTGGGAAACAAATGGCTTAATTGAGGCAAAAATGATGGCAATTAGCATGAGCAAATCCAATTAGGAGCCACGGGCGGGCTACCTTGGGAGTGCGGGGGGGCTGGGGTGGGGCAGGAGAACCCCAACGGCAGGACAGGCAGGGAAAGGGGGCGGCGGGCGCTCCCCTGGGTCTGGTGCTCATTAGCATCCTCTCCTCCTCGGGCTGCTGGCTCTGCGCCCTGGACGGAGCCTAATTAGGATGGAGAAATGGATTTGCCAGGCTGTGCTCAGCGGAGGGGTGAGCCGTTGGTAATGGGGCTGACGGGCAGAGCGGCAATCGCCTCCTGCGGAGCAGCTTCGTAACAAACGCCGTTGCTGTCCAAAGCTGGTAATCGGGAGGCTCAGAAACCCTGTCCCAACCTTGCTCCAGGGCTGGAAGGAGCATTTTTCCCTTTCCTACAAGGACCAGAGAAAAATTGTTCCTGTTTGTCCTTTAGGGGCAACCACTGGGTTCCTCACGCACCTGGGGGCTGCGGAGGGGGGACGTGCTCCGCTGCAGCGCCTCTGCCCTGACACCCTGGAAATAATGAGGTTAAATGTTAACTGTAACTTTTAAAATTACGGGAGGCATTTCTTTCTTATCACATGCATACAACTGCCAGGGACTCAAAACATTCATTTCCAGCAAAATCATCTTTATGGGTCATAATTTTTGTTACAAATTTTTTTCCTCTATTTTGGGAAAACATGAAACCACAGTGTTTCGCTTCTCTTTCCCGTTCAGTCTCCTGGTCCCCCCCCCAG